TGTTACTTTTACTAATTATTGTCATTTTTGACTTTGAAATACCGAAAGTTCCTATTAACTTTATATTTTGGTCTGTCTGGTGGTGTAATTTATAAATATTAAATATTTGATCATTTGATAAGATCAGTAGTTAAATTTAGACTTTTCACCAAATAGTTTTTCACTCTTATTTTGGAGACCTTCTGTTTACGTTTTCTTGAATAGAAATATGTTGAAGTATCACTTACTTGAGTACAACTTTTGACCAACTCTGTTCTCATCTCGCCTTCTTTGATTTGCTTTGTGTTTAACTTGGTTTGTAATCTTCATCTTATATGCTTATGGCTCTTGGTTTTAACTCCTTGACATATAGTTACGGTGTTTTGAAAGTTAAACTTATGAGTTTTTCCTTCACCCAGTGACGATCCCTTTCAGCCAATCAGATTATCAATAATACATACTCCTTGTCAGGTTCCCTGAAACACACATAGACAAACATCTGGTTTCACATCTGTCTGAGAACAACACAGTCGAGCGTCTGCGCAGATACTGAATGTTTAATATGAGGAACGATTCTTACGGATGGTCCTGAGGGAGGACCAACCTAGAAGACAAATACAGAGCAGTTTGAACGTGGACGGACGCGGAGCTGGAGCTGAGGATTTCCTGCAGAGTTTACTCACATGAAGGGATTTCTGTTCATGACAAGAACACAGATCGATTAGCAAAATGAATTAAACAGTATTTCCCTTTTATAAAAGTTTGTTGACAGGGAACTTACCTGCTGTCCTCTGTCCCGTTAATGTTCACAGGAGAGTCAAAACTGAAAGACAAAAGCAGAACCACAACAAGTTTGTACAAAAAGACTGAAACGATGAGAAGACGTCTGCATCACGTCAATCTAATGTAACGTCTCTTGTACAAATCATGACGGGAGCTGCACCTACTGCTAAAATGTCAGAAAACATTAAATGAAATTATTTTTTAAAAATGAAACAAATAGAAAATTATAAGGACAAAATTAGAAAATACTGAAAAAAAACAATTTACTAAATGAGAGAAAAATAAAATTAGAAAATAAAAAATTAGCAACGAATATAAAATATAAGAAAAAAACCCTAAATAAAACAAAGTAAATAAGTTTCAGCCTAACTAAAATATAGTAAAATATCAGAACATTCCACTTACATTAAAATAACCATAATAGTTTGAAAGGAATAATTACAAAAGCAAAAATATATAAAAGAATAAGCAAAATAAAACGAAAAACTGTAGATTGGAAAATAAACAGACATTCATATAAAGAATATGAAAATACAAAAAAACTCAAATGAAACAAATTAGATAAAATCTAAATAAAACTAAATTGTAATCAAATATAAATAAGATTAAAAAAATATTATTTCAACTACAAAATTAAAGAACTAATAAAAATAAATTATATTTAAATAAATGATATGTTCCTCTAAGCTTGTGCCACTTTTATTCACAATCAAAGTGCTGCTGGTAATTATTTTTTAAAAATCTACCTGACTGTGCGGCGTGATGAGCCAGATTCTGTTACGTAGAAATCATAAATCTAAACTAATAAAGACCAAATGTTGAGTACCTCAAGGCCCTATTCTCGAATCCTTCCAAAATATAGATGCAGATGAAACACAACTCTTGTTGTTTTAGCTAAAACTTAACTTTAGTTAAGTGTTTTTATCGCAATCATGAAAATCTCCATAACGTCAACATGACTCACCTGGGGAAGCTTGTTTCGTTTTGGGATCGGTGGGGATTCCCAGTGGAGTTCCTGACGACCTCCACCAGTTTGGAGTCACTGCAGACAGAAAACAACAACAAAAAAAGCCTAATTTCATCTGTCAGAGCAGCAGAACTCCAGAGGTAAACTGGTTGAATCTCACCTTGAATCCTCAGGCAGAGCAGGAAGAGGACCAGCGGATGTAAAAGTAGTCATCATCATCATCATCACCATCATCACCATCATGAGGAACAGCTTCATGATGGTGGGAAAAAGAGCGGCACTCTGATGCAGCTCCAGCCAACTGAAGGGATTTATACTCCCTCTGGCTGATCTGAGGTCAGTTTCCTGCTGTTCATGTGTAACTCCTCTGTGTTCGGCTCAGGTCCAGTAGGTTCGGCTCAAGTCCAGTAGGTTCGGCTCAGGTCCAGTAGGTTCGGCTCAGGTCCAGTAGGTTGACTTCACAAGGTTCACTGTATTTATTCTAACAAAAGAGGAAATGAAATTGGTGGTTCTCTGCTGGACTGAAGTGTTTTCTGTCCTCCATTGAGGGTCAGCGCATGTTTTTCTAAACTCCAGCTGAAGGACAGAAGCTTCATGATGAAGTTCCTCTATGTTGATGTTCTCAGTACTTGTTTTTTCTCACTCTGGCCTGATCCTGCTTCTTTCATTACTATTTTGAAAGAATTCATGAAGGAAAAGTAATTTCCCCAGGAAATTCACCCCAGGGTAAGAGTATCTACAAACAGAACCATTAAACATTTTTTAACAAACCTTGTTAAGAGTAGTGGAAAGAAGTGTCTTCACAGTAAAAAGAGTACTTCAGCATTACGTTTTTGAAGATTATATTCACATGAATCACAAGTCCTTTTGGAGAAAACCTTAATTGTTAAGCAAGGTGGTGGAGGAATTATGATCTGGACATTACAGGCATTTTAGACTTTAATCTGATGTGAATTCTGATTTTTTTCAGGGGTTTTAAGACAATGATCTAAAAAAAAAAAAAAAAAGTAAAAGACCTAGTCAAAGTCCAGATCTTAATTTGGAGACAACTGTGTAGTCAGATCTCAAAGGTTCAGGATGTACTTTTATAAAACATGTTTCCACATATTTGTAAAACTGACAGAATGTAGTGACAGTATGAGACAAACTATCTGTGAATAGATATCCTCTGCCTAATCCCAGTGCCCATGAGAAACAGCCAATCAAAGCCAGGAGGCGGGTCTTAGTGCTGTCAATCAATATGAGTGACTGCTGTGAATGATAAGGATAGTCAGCATAGCTACCAAAGGTGGTGAATAAATGGTTTTTTCTGTAATGGTGGCTTGCTTTTCCACCATTAGCACATTTTTATCAGCAGTAGATGAAGGTGATTGACAGCACTAAGATCCGCCTCCTGGCTCTGATTGGTTGTTGCTGGTTGACAACGGTTCATTACTTCAGACAGAAATATCCGTTCAGATTACCTGTCCCATAACATACTGCCTTGACATGGTTAAAGTTTCAACAAATATGGAAAAAAAATATTTTTGTAAAAATTAAATACTGCAGCTTTAAAGGGGTTCATAAGAATATTACACATACTGATCAAGATAAATGAGTTTGTGTAGAAAAGTATGTTTAAACGTAGTTACCTTCTCTGAGAAAATATAAACAATGAACTCCACAATCACAGATATATTTTATTAATCCAACATTTGTTACAATTTTATAAGTTAACACATTTTCACAAACACTGATGGGAGGAGAACAACTGCAGAAATACACACAAAAAAACAAAGACGACACTCAGTCACATAAAACTGAGCTTCCAGTTCCTGGAAATCTCAGACGACATGCAATGTAAATAACCAGCGGATCAACACCAGCGGCCTGTTTATCAGCCGTTTATCGGAAATCTTCTGCGGAAAACATGCCCTTGGCTCGGCGCAGGATGGAGTCCTTGGACGCATCGTATGGATGCTCTTTGGACGGGATCTCCAGCACCGCCGGGATCGACTGCATGTGGGCGTCGATGGCGTGCCGGATCATCTCGGCGATGAACTGGTTGATCAGAATGATGGCGATGTCATTCCGTGCCAGGAAGCTCCTGCAGGAGGAAACAAATGTCCCAACACTTAAAATAACAGGGGAATTTTAACAGGAACTAGTTCACATCTATGAATCAGTTCAAATGTGGAAATCTGTTCAGAGCTGAGAATCAGATTTAAGTCAGGAATCAGTTCAAGACTAAGTTCAGAATTAGAAATCCATTCAAGAATCAGTAATTTGTTCAAGAATTAAAAAAACAACAACAACCTAAGATTCAGAATTAGAATCTGATCGAGATTGTATGCAGAATCAGGAATTTGTTCAAAAATCAGTTCAAAGTAGGTAATCTGTTCAAGAATAATGGATTCACAATCAAGAATTGGATCAAAGTCAGAAATTGGAATACATTCAAGATTTTTGTAATCCATAGATGAAATTTTTTAAATAAATAATTGAAATAATAAAATACTTCCATTGCACTGTTATTTTTGGCTCTGCGGGTATTCCATTCTGATGTTGCACCAAAATCCTTAGAAAGTCATTTTACTTTGACAACCAAATGAAAACAATATAATCAGAACTATGCAATATCAGATGAACATTTACAATACTATCAATAAATATAATGAGGTAATTCTGACTGAACATAAAGCTTTATATGCGATCAACAATCAATTAATCTGAAAAACGTTCATTTAGAAGGGAGTCTGGTCTATGTCAACATTTTGGTTAAAACTACAGTTTTTATTTATGTCGTGATTAATATAATTATAGATTCTCTCCCAAATTACACACAAAAAAACAGTTTATAGAAACTAAAAGCGTTAAAACATGAAGTATATGAGTTGGGGAGGAGCTTGTGGGCCTGAACCACAAGCCGCACCAGATTCCATTCAGAATTTCACACATTTAACATTCTCATCAATAATGTTGTCCGATTATTATTGATTACACCTGAGCTCTATTTTAATGTTGTATGAATTTAAAATGAGAGGTTTCTGGTATCCCAGTGTATCGGGCCTCACTTGAACGTCTCCTCGATCTCCGTGATGCTCGTGTCCTTCTCCACCACCAGGAAGTTCGGCTTCCGGTTCTTGTTCAGCTCGCCGATCCCACCGAGCAGGAAGCCCGTCACCGTGTCTTCGTCCCCGATCACGGCGATCAGTTTGCCTCGACCCGCCATCGCAGCTGCTTTGGTCCAGTAGCACCGCGGAGAGACGGTCCGGATCAGCAGGCTTGATCATGTGAGTCGCTGCGTCAGCGGTCACGTGAGGGTCACGCAGCGGCGGAAGTGAAGCTACAGGCGGAAGTGAAGCTGCAGTTTGAACAACAAGCAGCAGCAGAGAACGTTCAGTATGGTGAGGGTTTAAACTTCTTATTCTCTGCGTTTTGTTGCTCTGGGAGCTGGTGAGACGTTCACGGACGCCTGTTTTCTGTGTGTGTGTCTGTTTTCCAGACCACGGCGGCTCTGACTGCGGGTCTGGAGCGGATTCCGGACCAGCTCGGGTTCCTGGTCATCAGCGAGGACGGAGTTCTGGCTGTGAGTTTGGGAACAACGCGAGTTTCTCCTCCTTTAACCACGAATTCAGAGCACAGAACACAGAATGAAAAGCAACAGTTTCTCTGCTGCAGCAAGCTGATCGAAACATTCTGAAATTAAGTTTTTACATTTTAGGTGTTTGTTACAAAACGTTCACATTTTTACAGTGATGCATAATTTGGGAAATGTCAATAACTTCAAAGTTTAAGTCACAACATTAATATTTAAACTGACGTGTTGAGGAAATCCAGGAGAGACCAGCTCAAACATTATTCAAATATTCTGCAAAAAGCTTTAAAAATAAAAAGAAATCTAGCTAATTTCATAAAGTGAAACTATTGCAGTCACCCTGAGAAAATAAAAATAATCAAATTACCAGAATAAAGTAAAACTGTCTCGAATAAAATGATAATGCTATTAATTCTGGCATTATTTTGATTTCCCAATATTAGTTGAATCAAATACAGCTTCTCATGATTATATTTTTTCTTAAATCTCATCTATTTATTGAACATATTTCAAGCCCTGATTTCTTTTAATTTTGATAATTATGCATTTTAAGTTTTGTGATTTTTGTATATAATTTTTTTATGGTGACTTTTATACAGGAATGGTCTGAAGTTACATATTTGTTTTTTTAAACAGTGTCTATCTATAAATATTTAAAACTATTTACTATAGTGAGACTTTTTATTTTTGTCATTATTGTACTCCCATACTTTGTTGACAGCATCGGCTGTTGGAAAGCAATGCTCATCCATCTCATTTGCTTTTGCCATTCATCTCGGTTTGAAAGCAACCCGGACCGGTTCTGACAGAACTCCTCCTGTTCAGTCTGCAGGTGAGCTGGAGAACGATGAGCACACTGCAGGTGTGATGATGCAGATGGTCCGGACGGCCTGCCGCTTCCGGTTATCCGGGTCAACAGACGCGCCGTTCAAACGCATGTCAGGTAATTGGGATGCTGGTTTCAGCAGAGAGAGATCTGATTGGCTCAGCGCTAACCAGCCTGCGTGCTTCATGTCTGCAGTGATCCTGGAGGATTTTATGTACGTAGTGACGATTTCAGGTCAGAAAGTGTTTGTGGTCAAACGTCAGAACAACCAGCATGAACCAATCAACGTGTAGAACGTCACCCGGAGCCAACGGGGCGGAGGCGATGGCGTCATTTTGTGATTTATTTTTGTTTACGTTGTCTGTATAATAAAGAGTTTGAAACTTGATCTTCTGCTTTTAATGCCAGTTTTCTGTGGAAATTTAAATGAGATCCTGAATCGAGTTACTGATGAAATTCATGTAGTTCCAGAATGACTCAGGGACTGATGATGTGAAACGGTTCATTTCTAGATGAACTCTGAGCCAGACGGTTCCATCTGTAAGGAATCAGTTCTCAGCAGGTGTTTGGTTGGGATTTCAGTTTATCTTGGTTGCTTTTAAGTCCTTATAGCTTAGCATAAACTGAACAGATGCATATGAAAGCAGAACTGATTCCTGTTTTTGAACAGATTCTTGCTTGAACCAGTTCCTGCATTTGAAGATTCTTTTGAGCTTATTGCTTTTTAACAGTTGCTTCCCTCTAAACTTATCTTCATTTTTTAACAGCTGCTTCCTTTGAACCAGTTCCTGTTTTTCTATTCCCAATTCTTCCTCCTGAACTCATTCCATATTCTTAACAAACATAACTCCAAGTGGATTAATGATATTGGTTATTAATTCCTAATATTGAAAGTTTGAACTGATTCCTTAGGTCTTAGATCACATCATAATCTCCTGATGCACCGATCCCACGTATGTTCAAACTCCTTAAATGAGCTGCTTTTAGTTAACATCACATATGGGATCATTTGCAAATCTGATTATTGATCAGCAGGTTAAACACTGAAACATCCTATTTTTTTCTGTTCATTAAATGCATTGAACTCGACTAATTTTGGTCCACAGATGCTAAAATGACGAGTGTGTATTGTCTCATTCTTGCAAAAAAAAAAAAAAAAAAAAAATCAAAAGTAGGTCAAAGGTCAAGGTAAATTTTAGTGAAAAAGTGTGCACTTGGAAGAGATCTGAGAAGAAAAAAAAACCTTTATTGCATTGTTGTTGCGTCTGTTTCTTCCTCTTCACACTGATAAGGAATGAAGAGGCTGTCAGGTCCGGCTCTGTGGAATGAGTCACATGACCAGGTAACTGTCACCTGTCGTAAGCCCCGTCCCCTCTCCCTACAACATCCTGTCACATGATCTGGAGTTAAAACAGATTAAAAGAAAACGGACCTAACAAACAATAGAAGAAGAGGATGATGGGAAACCAGGTGAGCTCAGAGTCCATGACATCACTTCCTCCTACAGATACACTTATAATTTAAAAAAACAAAAACAACCCAGAAACAGTCCTGTGAAATGCTTCTCATCCTCCCTCCTCGGTTTGTACACGGTGACATCATCCTGCTGCTTCCTGTAGGCGCCTAGCGTTTCGACAGCTCATTGGACAGCCAGTCCAGACCCTCGTAGAGACCCGTTCCCTGAGTGGCGCAGGTGGCCTGGACGTGCCACTGGAACCAGAAACAAACCCATCAGAACCACAATCCATTCAGCATTCAAGCTGCAGTTTGTGCCTTTTATTAAAATATGATTTTTACTTATTTGTTAAAATGAGGAAGGAATGTGAAAAGATTATTCGACTTCCTCCCTGAGGAAGTCGAATAATCTATTACCAAGAGAAAATTATAGCCAGTGGGTGGGTCTTAGTGCTGTCAACCATCCTCCTGTACACGCTGCTCAATGCGCTAAGGGTGGGAAAACACTTTACGTTTGGAAACACCATTTATTCACAGTTATCAGTGGCTATGCTAAGTAGCTTTAGCATTCACAACAGTCTAAGCTAGCTGCAGCGTAGCAGTCTGAGATGCAAATCTTTCACTATTGATTTGACTCCAACTTTCAGGGTCATGATTTGACACAGAAACTAATTTTTCTAGTCAAACAGTTTGAATTCTGTGACCGATGAGAAAAAAGACGATGAAAACAAAAACATTTATTTAAAACAATTTACAAAGTTTCCATATTGTATCAAATATATTGAAGCAAAAATAGGTTTGGAATAATATTCTGTACCTTAAATGAATAGCATCAGGTTAGCTTAGCTGACTGGCTTTTTAAATAACAAAAGTATCACAGAATTATTCAAAATATAAATTTACAAAAAATTAAGCAACTAATCTCGGTTTTTGAATCGATTCAGGATTCCCAGGACCAGAGTTGATTTTTTTTTCTGTACCTCTAGCAGCAGAGCATTGACAGCGTTAAGACCCGCCTCCGGGCTCTGATTGGTTGTTTCTAGTTGGAACTGGGAGCACTGGGAGAAGGCTAAGGAACTCCATTTTTTCACAGATTATCTGTCTGATAAACTGTTTCAACAAAAATTTAAAGTTACATACTACAGCTTTAAGAAACACAGGATACGATAAATTTTTAACAGGAAATATAAATAAGGACAATTCTCACTACTGAAGCGCCAACAGAACTAGAAAAAATATTACAGCAGAACATATAAAGTGTTAGAAAAAAGTGACTCTTTGTAACACTTCAGTAGGAAGAGTTACAAAATGTCCTGACGCAAGAGGAAGGAAAGACGTGAAATGTTGGTTGCATCAATTCTGCCAAAGGAAAGGAAAACAGTTTTATTGAAAAACAACCAAATTTCTAACACTTTGAATTAGGGAATAATAACTGTCAAAGCTTCAAATAATCTTTAGGAGACATGAACCCAAGAGATTTGTGTCCTTTTCAGATTTTACCAGATGTGTAATGTGTAATGCGCATTACAGCCACCAGGAGGCAGCAACACGAGCTGAAGAAATGGAATAATGTTTAAATTATTAAACACATTATTCCAACTTTTACTGGACGATAAACTGTACAGAAATTCTTGTAGATACAGAAATTCTTTTGAGACCATTTTTAAGTAATATATTAATAATGACATAATAATTCAATCTTGCCCTCCAAATGAATAATAAACTTTAATTTTCAACAGGACTGGAGGATATTTTAACTACATCAAAAGTCCAGACCTATTTCCAGTTCTGGGTTTGTGGCAATAATATAAAAAGTGATATTCATGACATTTTCTTTGAAATAATGTGAGAAAAGCATTTCAGATGACAGGAAAAAAATCTAAATCATCTGAGCTAAATACTTACTGAAACTAGGGAGTAATTTCAGGTAATAGATCAATCTCAATTATACTGACAATTGTCAGATTTTTCAGATTTTTAAGTTTTTTCGATACAATATTAGAAATGCATTAAAAGATACAAATAATTCCAATCTAAATTTTGTTGCCTAAAATGCAGCAGAGCATTCCTTTAGTGAACGATTGATCATTTTTAGCAAAGGATGCATCTTTATGCCAATACAGTGTAGGGATTACAGTGATTAATAACTGGAATAACAGTGATTAATAACTGGAATAACAGTGATTAATAACTGGAATAACAAAATTTGCTAATTTGAGTTTTTGTTTACAGAATATAAACAAAATGAAACTTTTAAGTAAAAATATTTGGGGTTTTTTACAGTTTTGGCTGCTCTGAATGTGTTGTTTCAGCAGATGGGCTTTTTTAGGTCTGATTAATTGTAAAATAGTTGACCATTATCAATTATTCTTGATACCATGCTATGCTAAGCTCCTGTTCTGCAGGTGGTGATTGTAAATCTGTCCTTACGGTTTTGCTGCGCAGGCTGTGCAGGCCCAGTTTGTCGGTGAGTTCGCTGACCCCCATGGCGTTGGGAAGATCCTGTTTGTTTGCAAACACCAGAAGGACAGCGTCCTTCAGCTCGTCTTCCTGGATCTGAGGGAGACGGAGTCATGTGACCCGTGATGTCACCGATTATAGATCATGTCCGGACCTTTGGACTACTCACCATCTTTGAGAGTTCCTCCGCCGATTCGGCCACTCTCTCTCTGTCGTTGCTGTCTACCACGAAGATCAGACCCTGCAGGAGAAGAACGGAGTCAGAACGTCGGTAGGCGCAGTTTGAGCCTGTGCCTGCAGGGGGCGTACCTGTGTGTTTTGGAAGTAGTGCCTCCACAGAGGTCGGATCTTGTCCTGGCCGCCGACGTCCCACACCGTGAAGCAGATGTTCTTGTACTCAACTGTCTCCACGTTAAAACCTGAAACACGCAGACGTTAGCAAGCGTCAGGTCAACGTTTCTGTTGACTGCAGAACTAAATCGTGGCAACGCGCCAATTTGCACTAGGATGAGGAAGTTTTTTTGGCTGACTTGAAATTGGTTCATCGTGCAAAATTGCAACAGAAACAACTTTATTCACACCATAGAAGTCATCTGATCAACAACCCAATGTTCTACTGGCAGAGATGACAAAGACGACGAGAGGAAGTGGTTGGAGGATGATGTTTTCAATGAACAAACTTATTTACATGATTTTGTTTATATTTATTTAATTGAAACAATTGCACTATTGTGTTTTTTCGACATTAGTGCAATACTGACAAAGTTTTGCGCTTATTTGTAATAGAAACAGAGCTAGTCTCTGAGCGCATGCAGTGAAATGGTCTTTAAAACAACAGGTAGAGGAAAAGAGTTTACATTTACACTCTATTTATTCCTCTAGATATTAAATCCAGAAAAGAATCCACATTTTTCTAAAAGGTCACAATATGTTGAAAACATTTTCTTTGGTTCGATAAACTTTCTACATCTGAGGCTTTTCTGCAAAGCCCTGCTCTTTGTTCGGACGATTAGCCCCTCTGGCTTGGGGAGTTATGACGCATAACAGTGGCAACAAGGTATTGCTTTTACCATGGGGAGCAGCTGATTAGCATCTCAATAACTCAAATAATACCTGATCAACAAAACCAAGAGGAGCTGAAAATGAGGCGTCATGAACGCAGAGCAGTAAAAAGTCAGTCAAGAGTCAGATTTAAAAAGGAACGGCAAGAGCAAAAGCACACGTGGTGGATCCATTCATATCAATGAAAGTTTAGTGGAAGGTAAAAGTGAATAGAAAGCAAACAAATAGAGTAAGTGAAGTCAGGAATTGGTTGGTTTCAGATACTCCTGATCCGATTCTGTCCTAATGCACAAAAATAAACCTTGAAGTTCATGAAGGTACAAGGCAGAAACAACAAATTCTTCCAATAATCAATATTTCCTCTCATCAACCCTCCTCCTTTGACCTTTGAGCATTTAGCTGCTGGCATGA